TCGGACACTTCCGATTCTGACGTGCCTCAGGTTGAGTGGAGGACAGTAAAGAAATCAATCAAACCCAAAGGATATAAAGAAATCACATCTGGCAAATTAGCAGATACAAATCTAATGTCATTTTGGGATCTCATGGGGGCAGAAAAATCCGATAACCCGAAAAGCTTACTAGAACTCGAAGCACGGACAGTTCTGGAAGACAGGAGCAGAAGTGAACAGGAGTTGGAGACAAATGTCCAAAGAGAGAAACCACCAATATTAGAAGTGGCTCTTAGAGCTGAAAGTCCGTCCAAGAGCCCAGAAGTCAGTGTGATTAAAAAGGAAAAGACAAGTCACAACTCCAGAAAAGACGACCCTCGCCAAGTGGAGATGAGTACAGAAAATAGTCTCGACAATCTTACCAAGTTGTTCGATAGAAGTCTGTTAGCAGAGTTGATCTCGGAGGATGCTTGGATGGATAGACTTCGGCGAGTGATTCAAAGAAACGATCGTCATAGTTTCGAGTTGATGGGCCCGTATACAAATCCTCTCTGGCATCAACTCTCTGTGGTGGATGACTGTATATTGGTGGACAACAGGCTAGCTGTTCCGGGGCAATTGCGCCAAGCAGTGCTGAAGAGAATTCATCGCGGTCACCCAGGTCAGGAAGCGATAATAGATGTTTCGAAATACCTGTGGTGGCCGCACATGCACAAGGATATAGTCAATCTGGCGGAGGAATGCAGAAGCTGCACCCGCTATCGTAAGAATGCAAAGTACATCATTCCGAAAAACGCTACCAAACCTCTTTCAGTGCTAACGCAGCCGGGTCAGGAAGTTCAGTTAGATTATGCTGGTCCATTCGAAGACTATGAAGGAAAAAAATATATTTGCTGGTAGCAATAGATAGGTATTCTAAGTTTCCGTTGGTAAAAATCACTAAATCAACAGGGGTAAAATCGTCAACTAAATCTCTTTGTTCCTTTATTGATTTTCATGGAATACCTGAATCAATTCGAGCCGATCAATTTTCCGGTTTTAAAGGTAAAACTATGCGAAAATATTGTTCTGACAATAACATTGAACAAAAGTTCTGTCCAGTTGGGGATCATCGCGGATGCGGTTTAGTGGAACGTACTATACAAACCATCAAAAGAAGATTAGGATTTATGTTACTAGATGAAAATGTAACACCAATAAAATTATGTCTTAGTACAACACTCCGTGATCTCCGATTGAGTAAACAGAAAACAATACAAATGTCGCCATTTGAAGCCCATTTTGGTAGATTGCCAAAAACTGAATTAAAATTTTTGAGTGATAGGTTTTTACGAAATTCTGATCGTTTAGATAAGAAACGCCTGGAACGTTCTGCGCTCACCGCCTCTCAACTCAAAAAGCGCATTGACCAGTCTCGCGATAGCCTGAAAATTGTCAGAAAAGGACAAAACAGCCGAAATGTTAGTCCACTATTTAAACAGCAAGTTGTTTCGGCTCAGGATCGGGCGAGAGCGAGGGCATTGAAGGAACTTCTGGAAGCTAATGCCAGGTGGAATCAAACCTGACGCGATACATCTGCGAATGATTTAAAACGTACGGTGGAGGAGACGAGTACCATTAACCCCGAACTACGCAAAGAAATGTTGTACTCCTGGGAACGTGGCTTTATCGAAGATAAACTGGAAGATATCGTCAGTCAACGTCAATGGTCACCCATTCTGCTCAGGAAAGATGAGGAGAGGAAAAGTGGAAAGGATCTCACAAAGCCGTTGAAAGCCCTCTACTGTCAAGACAGCAGCGGGGTCCATATATTGGAAGAGTGACATTGCCAAAGCTAAGGTTGTTGTGCAGGACATAGACGTTCCCCAACCATAACCATAGACGTTCCCCAACAGGTGAAAAACCTAAAAAGAAACAACAAAAACAATCACAACGGCAATCCGACGAACAGGAGGAAGCCGAGAATAGTGAATCTGACGAGGATTTATTGCTAGAGCAGCGAAGCATAGATCCAGTAGAGGCACAGCGAAAATTCCAGGACAGTCCAACAGTGGTCACGTCAAAAGATATTTTGCATGGCGGTGGCTTAAATCTAGCGGTGAAAAGGGCCAAACCTAACATGGCTGGACCGTTCACCAAAACATCTAAGATAAAAGGGGGCACATGCGCAAACGATTCACAACCAACCAATCTACAGAATAAGTGCGCTGCCACGGCAGTCGAAGAAGAACCTCAGGCGTGTTCGTCAAACTCAGCGGGGGTACCAAAATCGACTTCTACACCTCACAGTAGTACAAAGAAAGAAATTTCACGCAATAAATCTCCAGAAACCATTCTAGACACGTTCAACAGCAAAGATTTAACGGCAGCGGATTGGAACCGATTGGCTGACCAGGTGCTGGTGAGAGGAGTACAGCGTACAGCGGCAGATATATTGCACTCTAAAGAAAATGCGGAAGATGGGGAAGAATCTAATAACCCTCCGGGGTTTTCGGACGAATCAGAAGTGGAAGAAACGTCTGTACGAAAAAGCGCGAGGTCGAAAAAAGGACCGAGTAGATACGGGAATCCAATTAAACATTCGGTCAGGTCGATATCATATCATAACGATCTCTTGGATTTAAATCAGGCCGCACTAGAAGCACACCGAATCAAATTAGCAAACTTCAAACCCGATGCGTCGAATTTGGTGGAAACGAAATTTGGCCCACTAGAAAAACATCTCTTTAGAAGAAAATTCGGCAGCGAGGCGCTCGATATTAACCGATCTTGGAATGCTGAGTGGCGGGTCCCACTAGAATTTGAGGAAGAGCACGAAGAGAAAGACGGAAAGTGATATCAAGTCAATTGCACAAGAAAGAAACAAAGTCAACAAGAAAATAAAACTCCCTAAACAGAGTATTAAAACTCCTATTCATTATTATTAAAATTTGATAAAGTATTAAAAAATTTTCTTGGCCGAGCGGGGTATGTGGTACCGCAACTGCTACTGCATTTGCAGTAACCATATTATGGCCTTGGCGTAATTGTTCATATTGTTATCTATAAATTATATTATCTTATTATGTAAATCAAGGTCAATAATGCGTGACCTTTATTGTTAGAAAAAGAGAGATTGACTCTCAGAACTGTGGCTCGGTGCACAGTTGGACTCAGATGAAAAAGACTATAAGAAAAACAATACGGTTTCAACCATTAAATTAACTCGTAGAAACCACGTCTGTTTTCATTATAAACATCAGAGGTTCTGTCTGTTATCACTATATTATAGCGAGTGATTTTGTCCAGTCCTTCTGAAGAGCAGCAGTGACAAACCTCACGATTCAGAACACTGAATTAACGTGTTATAATACGGTTGTTATTCTCTGTTAACCTTCATATAGTTTCGTCGGTGAATCCGTTAGATTTCAGTTTAAGATAGTGATCAGACGGATGAAATTACGTATCCAGTAGCATACAAGAACCTGCTGATAGTTTTGGCAATGAGCATCAGCAGAACAACAATTAGAATGGACCAAATGGGCTGCGATTGCACATATGGGCACTTTTGCAAAAAACGGGACAAACTTAAACTTGTAGAACTGACAGAACCAATATTAGAACTGAAAATACGCGGTTAAAAAAAGGCGCAGAAGAAAAATCGAGATGTAGGAAATCGTGAAAAAAGTGTAGGCTAGAAAAAAGTCATCGAGTAAGGCACACTTTTTAACTCTTTCACAGGGGAAGAAGCAGATGTCATACGCGATAAGTCAGCTCTCATTCGTTTATAATAAACCTCTCTGTTCTGCCGGCATTTGCATAGGTGGTCGTCCCGCATATTAAATATTTAGGTAACATTTAGCTAACCGAGTTGGAAATGTAAATGATCGCAAGAAAACAGAAAAACTCTGATTTATGTTTAAGAAAATTTGACTTTTTTTAAGTTTCAGATAAAAAAATATATGCCCATAAAGCTCTTCGAATTTCAAAAACAATTTATGATTGACGCTTTGTTGATAAATATTAACCTACTTTGAGAAAACTGCACCAGTAAGTTTTTTGGTCAACCGAGAAATCTTAAATTTTAAATCTCTTTTCGAAGCTCAAATTCAGTAACGTTATATATATCCTTTATGTTTTCGCTATTCGATTTTATAGTATGCTTTTCTTTTGACAGAAGAAATTAACTGAGCTTTAAAAGAATTCAAAAAATCAAACAGCGAAAAATTGAAACTGAGTGTAAACATTTTCAAGACTTTTTTCAGATTAAAATCATCACCAATTTCATAAATGTTCTCACCTAGTTTATGAACACTTAGAAATCTGGTTAAAAAACCCTGAAAACATATTCACAATCGAACCTTAAAAGTCTAATAGTGCATACAGGATAGCTTAATTTTACGCCTCTTTTCGACTAGCCGGGAACAATTTTGTCGGCTATCCGGACGCATGCAACCAAAACATCTGAGCTTGCTTGAACTATATGATCAACCAAAATGTGAAAGGCAGAACGTTTCAGATCGCGTATTCGATCCCTTATCATGATAAATTTACTGCGTGATTGTTGAAGAATGAACTGAAAGAAGTGAATATAAATGACATGACAAACTAAGCATCACAAAAGTACCAGTTAATTAATTACAGTTTAATTAATTAGTTTGAGATCACTAGGTGACCTTGTCTGAGTTAAATCAGTTTTGATTATGATTCAATTAATCTGTCTGACCTTGAGATGGTCTGACCTCATCACCCCCACTCAGGCTGAATTGGCTTTGTCTAATGTCAGGCTGCTACCCATCAAGGTTCGACGTTGCTGTTCCACCTTAGCCTGGCTCAGGGCTTTTGTCAACAAGTCAGCTTCCATTAACTTAGTAGGGCAATATTGGAGATCAACTGTCTCATCTTCCACTCGTTATCGAACAAAGTGGTATTTGACATCGATGTGTTTCGTTCGCTTCTGCATCACAGGATTCTTGCACATCTTGATACAGCTCTGGTTGTTCTCCTTGATGACAGTTGGTCCGTCAGTAACTACGCCCATCTCATTCAGAAGTGATAGCAGATATAGATCCTCTTGAAGCGCTGCTTCCATTGTTGGTACTCAGCCTCACTGGTAGATATGGCTGCAGTTGGTTGCTTTTTGGTGCTCCAACCAATTGCTGCCCCTGCCTTCGCAAATAAAATCTGTAGCCAGTAGTTGACCTTCTATCATCCAAATCTCCAGCCCAGTCAGCATCTGCGAATCCACAGAGTTTTACACCACCAGCTTTCTTAGTGTAGCACAGCTCCAGATCTTTGCTCTCCTTCAGGTAACGATGACCCCTCTTTGCAGCCACCCAGTGCGCCCTTCCCGGATTCTCCATGAAAGGAGAGAGTTGCGTCACAGTAGCTAGGATATCAGGCCATGTTTGCTTAGCTATGTACAATAATGAGCCCACAAAGCCTCTGTAGTCCTCAGCCTTCATGAATACTTCCTCTGCTGATCCAGCTTCAGGACAGCCCTTCTTCGACAGTTGTGCGCTGATGCCCGCTGGTGGGCCCACTGTTTTGCCTTCACCAAGGCCAAAACGCTCCAAGCAGTCGGCGATGTAACGAGATTGATTTGTTGTTACCGTCCCAGCTGGTGCTTGACCTGCATTGCCAGGAGCCAGGACAATGCGTCTCTGTCATCCATCTTTAATCTTTCGGAGAAACGGCTCCTCAGCTTGTCAACTTCGTCTTGACATCTGCACCCAATGATGATGTCATCTACCCAAACCAGCACATAAATCATTGCATCGTTTGTTCCCCTCATCGTGAACACACAGAAATTGTTGCTGCTTCCAGTGAACCCTTCATCAAGTAGTAAAGTGCTCAGCGTCTGATACCAGTCTCTTCTTGCCTGCCGCAGCCCGTAGAGACTTCGTTGCAGCAAGCACACTTGGGTGTCACCGCTGCTGAACCCCTCTGGCTGCTCCATGTACACTGTCTGTGCTAGAGGAGAGTTGAGGAAGGCTGACTTACATCCTTTTTGTTTCGGATTAACAGGTTGGAGCAAGCGTCTCATTGAAGTCAAGTCTTTCCACTTGCATGAACCCTTTCACTACATATCGGGCTTTGAACCGCTCAGCTTGTCCTATCGCATCTCTCTTTACAGCAAGAACCCATCGTCCAGGAATAACTTTTCCAGATTGTGGTCTATCAACAATTGTCCAGGTTCCCGTGGCTTCTAGAGACTTCACCTCTAAAGCCATTGTTGCCATCCACTGCTCCTTTTCGGGTCCAGATACTGCTTCTGAATAGCCCATTGGCTCTTAAATTTCAGTCACTGAAGCATGGGTACCAAAGCATCGAATGGGTGGGTTCCTTATCCTAACGGACCTCTGCACTGGACGATCAGTAGAATGTGAAACTACTGCTTCCTCCTCGACGTGATTTTCCTCAGTAGTCCCCACTGAATCTGCAGCATCACCCTCAGTTGGCGCGCTTCGTGCTTCGCTGGTTTTCGTCGTGCTTGGTTGCTCATAATCAATGCACCCCTCGATTGATAGCTCCAGGTTTTGTAATGGCTCACTGTCAGCCATGAATTCATCTGGAATGATTTTCTCATTAAATGTCACGCTTCTTGCTCGCATCACTTGTCTTGTCTCTAGATCCATCAGCAGGTAGGCTTTGCTCTCCTCGTCGTAGCCGATGAACTTGCTTTTCTTGCCCATTGGATCCAGTTTCCGTCTGTTGCCTCGATCCAGATAGCACGCCAGGCAACTGAACACACCCAAATAGCTCACTTTTAATGGTTGCTCATGGGCATCTCTGTCAGTGAAAGGCGCTTCTCGTTGCTGGATGTGGGACATAAGTTGCGAACCCTCACAGCTGTCGACATTGCTCGCACCCAGAACGGCTTCGGTAGCTTTACTTCGGCCAGCAGACATCGAGTCATCTCGGTGATCACTCTGTTGTAGCGCTCTGCTACACCATTCTGTTGGGGAGTATTGGGCACAGTGAACTCTTGCTTCACCTGGATTTCTCTACAAAGTCTCCTATATGCTTTTGACGAATACTCACCTCCTTTGTCAGTTCGCAGGCACTTCGGTGCTGCATGCTTAGCCACAAACTCCTGGAACTTCAGTAGAGCATCACTCTTCTTCACCAGCTACTTGACCACAGCCAGCCGACTGAAGTCGTCGATGAAGCTCAAAGCATAGCATGCATACTCGGTACTTCAAATGTTCCCAGAATGTCACTGAAGACCCGTTGCCCCATTGCCGATGCTCTGCTGTCAGTCTTCTTAGGCACTGCTACTTCATTCATCTTAGAAGCTGTACAAACTTCATAGAAATCTAGCTGGCCCACATTTAGAAGCGATGAAAGATCCTGCTGATTGAAGTGCTCCAGTCGTCGGTGTCACAACATTGCATCACTGGTATACCTCCTTGTTTTCTTCACTAGAAACATCGGGTTTCTGTTGAACTTGCACTCAAGGAGGAAAAGCGTGCCGCGCTGTTTCACTGGTAGCTGTCCCCCATCTGGTTCCAGTAGATGTGACGCATCTGCGGCAAAACTGAAGCTTGAGCCTCTAGCCACAGCTGAGCTCACACTCGCCAAGTTCACACTGTAGCTCGGCACAAGCAGCACATTGTGAAAAGTGTATCTCCTCAAAGCATCATGGCAGTCCCTGATCTCCACTTCCACTGATCCTTTGCCCTCAATCCTTGACAGCGTGCTGTTGGGGTTCTCCACAGTTGTCCATTCGTTCCAGCTCTCAAAGCTAGAAAAGACAGCCCTGTCGCGCACCACATGGTCAGTGCATCCCGTTTCGACAATGAGGTCGTCTCCCTTCATTGTAGTTGCAACACAACAACTGAAGAACCCTGTCGTCCCCTGCTTGCACTCCCTTGCAAAATGTCCAGGTTGCCCACACTTGAAGCACCTTTGCTTCTTTGCTCCTGGCCCACTTGCTTTGTTCGACCCACTGCCTCGAGCACTGGATTGTCTGCTGTCATCTTTGGATTTGCAGTCCCTCTTCATATGACCCTTCTGACCGCACACATAGCAGCCACTATTTGACCCTCCTTTCTTCTTCCTCACAACTTGCATGGCTGTATGACCATGTCCAGTCCTCTCTCCACATCGAGGCCTCCTCGAGTCATCGTAGTATCTCAACCTCGTTGTCAGCTCTGGAAATGCCTTGGCTGGTTGAAAGCTCTCTTGCAACACAAAATGCTCATAGCTATCAAGAAGCCCATTGATCACCAAAGCGTTGAACAGTGCTCTTGACTGCGAACAAAGTAGTCGTCCAGATCCTCCTCTAATCCTAGGCGCAGCTTCGCAATCTGACCTACTAGACTGACCACCGTGGGCCTCTCTACACTGCACAATTTCTCTTGAAGTAGCTTCCAAGCCTTCGTCCCATCGCCATAGCCATCTGTTCCCACGCAGTCGTTCTTTATGTACATCAATGTAATGTTGTTAAGCACCAGAACCAGGTGGGACCACACAGTGTTTCGGTTGTCTTTCCTCTGTTGGATCAACCCTGCTCGCTCCTGCATCTTGGTATCGTAGGCTGCCTGCTGATCAGCATTCGAGCTCTCGGGGAGAGTAGGCTCAGCCTCTGGCAGATCATCAATGCCCATCACTGTCCTGAAAACGACCTTGGTGTGCATCAGCGCCGCACATTTCGTCGACCAAGCAGGAAAACCTTCAGAGTTCCCCTAAAAGCGGCCAGTTTCATGTCCATCGTTGCTTAAGACTGCTAGCTAAAAGCTGAAAACTCTGACAGAAAAATATTTCAATAAAAAAACTAGACATCTGGGCCCATAACCTGTTAAAATTCAGAGTTAGAGCAACTAGGTTTAAAAGCTGGGGTTAGAGACTGAGATAGAATCTGAGTTTTGAACTGAGGATTGAGAAGAGGTAGTGATTGTTGAAGAATGAACTGAAAGAAGTGAATATAAATGACATGACAAACTAAGCATCACAAAAGTACCAGTTAATTAATTACAGACTAATTAATTAGTTTGAGATGACTAGTTGACCTTGTCTGAAATAAATCAGTTTTGATTATGATTCAATTAATCTGTCTGTCCTTGAGATGGTTTGTTTGACCTCAACAGAAAAAAGCTGCGTTCAGCAAAATAACTCATTCTAAAATGGGTGGTAATAAGAATAGTGAGTTGTCCTGAGACAAGCTCGATAGTCTTCAATAGATCCTCCAACAATCGCAAAAACCACAATTATTTTTGTTTCGACGTTCGATACGAAAGTAACGGAATATTTGTGCTCGGGTGGTTTTTTTTCTTCAGGCAAATTTCGACTTTTTTAATATCATTCAAAAGGTATTGTTGTCCTGAGCTTAAGTTTGAAAAGATATTTCACCTGTGATCATTTTTTGTGAAGTTATGGGGGCTTAAATATTGCCATTTTGGCCAATTTGGGACAATTAACGAGCGATATATTTTGCGCTATTAACGTGTAAGCGGAGATTTAATCCGTCTTAAAATTGTTCCAACTTGGCTGAAAGAAGCCTATTTGCCATAAGTGATTTGTTACAATGAGCGAAATTTATCCATAAATAATCTGCTCCATAAACCTCAAAAGACAGTCGGAACATTCAGGGCCTCGTCCTGATACGAGCAGCCTTGTTTAATTATATCTTTAATTGAATTACAAATATTTTATAAATTGAAACTCCATATTTTTTTTATTCAATTTTGTAATTTTTTCTGAATTGTTTTCAATTTTACAAAAAACTATTAGATTTTTCAGTCAAAAAACTTTTTTCATCATTCAAACAATCAGATATTTATAATGAAAATAGTTTTTTATTTGAGTCATTTTTGGGCAGATTGGACGCGCTTTAATTATTCCATGCTTCCAAGGATTCTAGTAATGCGTTTGATTAAATCGTTTGTTTGTGTTCATGCGTTTGTTGTTCATCTTGGATCAGTGGACCAAACGTCCAAGATCAATTGCACCTGAAATCAATACATGATCAGACATGACTGTTTAGGCGACCAAAGTTTTTGGAAAAAATTGATGAATAACTTTGAATATTAAATAATTTTCATAACTGGAAGAAGATAAAAGCATCCAAGTCTTTATTTTTGGCCAAAACTTGTCTGTTCAACTGTTCCCAAAAAGAATTTGCAAAAAATATGTTTTAGATTTTCAGCTCGTTGAGAGTGGCATTGCATGTTTTTGTAAGTTTTTTAAACAAAAAACATGGTGGTTAAAACATTCAACATTTTTGTTTGCATTTTGTAGCAGTTTTTAAACAAGTTTTATAAATTTGAAAGATAAATGTAAGCAGAATTCGTCAATATACTGCCTTAAGCTCGTCAATGTCCTGTTTTTTGATCAAAATTGCAGACTGAACATTTGGTACGTGAGCTGGCAGCTTCAGTTCTTCGTAGAAGTTACTCAAAATCCAGTAGCTGCTGTCTAAGTAGAAGCCAAAGAAATACAGCATTCCATTTGGACTCAATCT